CATTCTCTCTAATAAACACACTCTCATACATCCAAATTTGATTCCCAATTCTCTCGTTTTTTTTCCTGCTCTGTATGAGGTGTGAGCCATTTGTCATCACATACTTAATGTGGCTGCGATGTCTGTATGTGCACTCCAGTGCATGCACTGGGAGGGGCGATGGCTTGATACGGACAAGCGTCGCTCCAGTTCTCCTCATCACACAGCAGAGACTAAGCCTTTGCGTTTTGGCCGGCCGAACAATAACAATCAGAGGCATTTATGTGTTAGAAATTGAGGAAAAGAGCTGGGAGCAGCGACTGCATATGGAGCTGATCACGTTAGGAGTGGAGGCTTCGGATTGCCTTACTGATGACTAATTGACCACAGCTAGGAGGCCCTCCTCAGTCCACGATGACCCCCCTCTCATCTCTATTTTTGACTGTGTGTTTCTGTTCCTTCTGCCCTACAATGTTTCAATACTGGAAGTACAATTTTACACTCATCTAAAGTGCAAACTGGAGCAATGGTTGACAACAGGAAGATGAAATCAGTCCCTAACAAGCTTACCGGCTTGTGTGTGCGCAGTTCTATCTTTTTCTTTGCAAATATAGCAGTTGAGCCACTTGATGGTTAAGTGGCGCCTTGTCTTTAATTGCTAACATAGCGTAGCCCATTCATCAGGCTTAGTGGCTGTCCAACATCAATCATCCAGTCTTTTGAGGTTTCTCTTGGGCCAGTTTGGCCTGACTTCAGGTAGAAGCTCTCATAGAAACACACACGCAGACACGCTTGCATGCACACAAAAACACACCTACACATGCTGTCACTCATGCGTGTATGTGCTTTGACAGACGTAGACATTCCCCTTCTGACTTCCTGCGCTGTTTCCAAGCGCAAGGAAAAGTCTGAAATGGCTTCCATGTGCCAGTAGGCGTTGAAGGCTCGGTGTAAGCCTTGCCATCAGTTTGTGCTAATGCTTAGCTGCTACACCAGGAAGCCCATCTAGGTGCTTGAGGGTCTTTACCTACCTTGTTTCTTCCTGATGTACCTCCGTCCCCACCACACACACACACCTCATGGAGCTTATTTAGCTTCTAGCCTGACTGTTTATGTATTTGTTTAACAGAGCAAGGACTCCTCATTAGTGGCCATGCATGGCTGGATTCTGATGATAGCACCCATAGGGTATCAAGGCACAGGGGGAGGTGATGCTGAGTTCAGGATGTTGGATTTGCCCTGCTTGTTCCAGCTGCCTCCACTGCTTCCAATTCGTCAGGCCTCCAGGAGAGGCTGATGGACCCCTGGAGGATTGAGAATATGAAAGCTGACTATAGATTCTAATGAGGGGGAAGTTTGGCACTCTCGAAATAATCAAGAATTGGGAAAACTTGGGAATGGCCATAGAAAAACGTGAAAATGTGAGGTGTGATTATTTCAACAGTTTGCTGTCGATTTGAACTTCGGCTACTTTCTGACATCTTTAACTTACTACCGCCATATTTTCTGACTTCAACTTGATCTCAAACCTGTTTGCTTTAAAGGTCACTTATTATGCAAGATCCACTTTTTCATGTCTTTTATACATAAATATGTAGCTCCTCTGTGTTAAAAGATTCTTAAAGTTTCAGGAAAAAAGACTCATCCTTTTTGTTCTGATCCATTTATATAAAAACTTGTGTGAAAATTAGCTCATCAGATTTTGGCCACATATTTAGGAATGTGTTGGGGTTGTGCGACCATTAGCCAATAACCAACCAGGGTTACAACCGCTCACCTTATCACCTGAATCTCCTCCTAGAGCACCACCTTTTTTTAAACCATACACTTTTGCATAGGGCTTGGGGAGTGGCGGTTCATTTGCATTTAAAGCTACAGATACAGAATCAGCACTTTAGGAATGAAACAGAGGGGTATACGGCATGCTACAATGCATGATCTGTTTGGTATTTCCCACCAAACACTTCAGAGACATGTTTAGTATATATCTCAAATCTATAATATACTGTTGAAAAATATTGAAATAGGTGACCTTTAATACTGGGTTAAAATGCAGGAGGCAGATTTGAAACAGAAGAAGAGAACTAAGAATATACCATTTTATTTAGGACACTGCAACAAAAAACGACTGTAAGCTACATTCGTCCAGGGATAAAATGTGCTAGTTGTAGCCTAGAGAAGCATCCTCCAAAAAGCAGAGATTAAGTTAATCTAAGTACTGCAATACTTCAAAAATACTCATATTTTTGTTTTACAAAGTCTTTAATTTGACTATTAATCATTTCATGACAGTCCGGTAAAGACTCATTTGAGTTTTTGCATTGGACATCTTAGCACATCTCTTGCATTCTTCATTTCTTACTATCCATTTCTTATCATATCCCTTCAATTTATATCTACCTCTTATTCATTCACTTACTAAATCACTTATACAAAAACAGTCTTACGCTTAACTCCGACCCCCACTGTCTGCCTCCTTTGCTTCCCTCCCAGTCAACTTGTCAGTCCAGACTCTTTCTGCTCTTCCACTTACTCGCTCCAGTCTGGCTCGCTCGTGTTGCCACTGGAGCGTTTTGGCCTCTCTTAGCTTTTCTTATCGGACAGAGCTCATTTGGCTACCGTACCAGGGCTGAGTTCAGACTGGGGTTGGCCAGATTATATAGGGAGGCTCCCCCTCCCTCCATGAATCTCTTTCTCCCTTGCTGCTGCCTTGGCATCCCGTTGTAGGCCCATCACTTTGAAGGGCAGTGGGTCAGATGAGAATCACGAAAGAATGAAGACCTTTAAATAACTGCTGCTTCAAATAACTCCTCGTAGAGAGACAGTGCGGTGTAAATGGAAAACACGCATGGGCAAAGTTGTCCACTGACACCAGAGTTTGTTTCTCTACTGGTGTATAAAACACATAAAGCATGGTGGTTTGAATGGGAATAAAATGGCTTCCCGGAGATCTGGGTTCACGACCCCCCGCTTTCGCGTTTGAACGCTAAAAGCGCTGCTCTATAATCACCATTGCCACTTGCAATAAAAGTCGTAAAAGTGGTGTTTCTAAATGGCATCAGCCTTTCAACATATGATTTAAGCCATATGTGTCAAAACAAGATTTATATCAACACACCATATGTGAGCAGATTCCATAGATAGGCACAGGCATGCGATGGAGAGCATGTCTCTGGAGTCTATGCAGACAAGCCTTTTGTCGTAACAAACTCAGAGTCCAAGGCTCTCTCTGTGCTGTTTAGTTAGCCTTTAGACTGCCACCAGCCACCAGGGAGCCCAGGGGACACAATAAAAACATCCATCATACCACTGGCCATCAGCCAGCCTCCAAAAAGGAGATTCAGAAAGCAAAGTTAATGACCACATGTCTGAATGCTCCTGTGAGATTTCCTGCAGACTCCCCATCTCACCCTATTGTCTGTCACAGTCCATCTCTTTCCCCGCAGCGCTCTATTCTTTCAGACGCACACACAAAAATAATTGTCTGTCTGTCTGAGGGCCATTGCTTCACAAACAGCTGCTTTAACAAGTCACACTGAGAGGTTATACGTGACCCTGACACCAGGGTTTGACATTGCCTTCCCCTCTCACTGACCTGCTCCACCGATTTTTCTCCTACTGCAACCTCTCGGGTTTCTCTAATTAGCCCCATTATTCTATTAGGTGCGCGACTCTCTGCAAACCCTACCACTGTCTTATCCTGATGTCCTTTCCAATCTCCACACCCCAAAAAGCCTTGAGGAAACCATTATCTAGGAGGAAAACCATTAAGTGTGAACAGGTCGTGAAAACAACCAAGATGACAAGCTAATGGCATCGGCGAAGTGGCACAAACCAGAGGCTCCTTTGGTCTTTGAGGATCTGTTTTTCTTAATATCTCTTCCTGGGCTTCCCATCCATGGTAGTAGCCAGAACTACTTTGGGCCTGTCGGAGGAAGGCAAACAGGAAAGTGACACAAACCTGAGCAGCTAGCTTTTGTTACTCTCCAGCGGTCCACCTGGGCGGCAGTGGGTTAGGACAGCTGAAATATGGCACGGCTAGTGTGCGGGGTGAGCTTTGAGCCTTTTTTTTTTACAAAAGAAATAAAAACAATCTTTGGGGATGATTGGAATAGCAGTTAGGAGAAGGGTGGATGATGAGTTGCGGCCCCGACAAACTATGTGCCGACTAGACGGCGCATTTGTCTGGTTTCGGGTCGCAAGTGAGAATGACGCCACACGTTCAGTTGCAGTTCGCTATCCTATTCCATTCTAAATCCCAGCCAGACAAACTGTGATCGTGGGGTGACATTGACAGGTTGGCACCCGTTAGACCTACAGAGCCTATTTTGGTTAACTGGTAAATGCATCAATGCTACACTTTGTTTAGCATAGCAATGAAGAAGTTGAAACACTATCCTCTTCTTCGTGTGTCTTTCTGGCTGAGCACTAAGCCCATAAAGGAGGACAGGGAAGGATTGTGTGTTTGGGTGTGTCTTTTGAGTCTGCTGCCTCGTACCTGCTAAGCTTCCCCCTCTCTTTCCAAGCCATAAGCTACGTAAAATAGTTTGATGCTTTTACTTGGCATGCTTATATTCAGTAATTTGTTTAATCTAGTATTGTTTCTTTGAAGAAATGAATGCAAACTTGCTTCAAGATGCTATTGGGGGACTATTTATTTAAATCTTTGAGCTTTTTTCCATTGGTTTATACATGAAATCTATCTCTCACTGTGGGGTGCCTTACCCCAGCAACCAGTTACAAAAAGTATCTTCGGTATATCATAGCAAGAAAGGGAAAATGCCATGTCTTTATGTCTTGCCATACTTGGCATGTTCTCACTATTAGTTACATGGGAGGTAAAAACATCACAAAAAAACATCCACATAATTTTTTTATAAAAAGGGTGATGTGTTGACTGAATTTCCAATACTTCTTACTGTCATTTTGGGCAATAATCTCATCATTTTGACAATGCATCTATTAACAAAAATACTTGCAGCTCATCCAAATGTTCTCTATTCTGTGTTTTTGCTCTGCAGGGTGCAACAATAATGCGTGACGATCACACAGGAGCCATCCTGGTGGCCCGGATCATGAGAGGAGGGGCAGCCGACAGAAGTGGTGAGTTTTTCCTCGTTTTCAAACATGTTTTTATACATTTTCGTCTCAACATTTGTACGTGAATATGTAGTGGGGAATGAAGTCTGACATAACAGTCAGTAGTCCATGTATTCAGGAATTATCACTGCACCTGAATCCACAAGTTCTGTGTCATCACTTTTACTTATTCACTTTTTTCTTATAAACATGAAGTATAATGCTTCAGTTGTTTTGCAAATAGTTTCCATTCAAAAATGTGTTCATAGTGTCCAGTCTGTTGTTCAGCTCTGCCACAGTGTAGCCATAGGCACAACTCTACATGTGTCGACAATAAAGTTTTGATTATCTTCCAAACTCTAATACCACCACTACGATAAACAGTAATGTAGTGTACTGTACACATCCCTAGGCTTTATTAGAACTGGACTTTTTAAACTGTAACTTACCTGTATTAGGACATCAGAATAATAGAATATTGTGTGTGTTTGGCAGGATTGATTCATGTTGGGGATGAACTGAAGGAGGTCAACGGAATCCCTGTGGATGACAAGAAACCGGAGGAAATCATCCGTATTCTGGTAAGCCTCGTCTGCCCTCTCTCTGTTTTTTGTGTGTGCTGTCCAAGAGTTTTCTCCTGTGTTTAAGCTCCAGTCCCTTGGCCAAAATAACAATCCTTGTTTGTGATGGCAAAAAACCTCCCCTAACTCACTTAGGACCACGTGCCTCCCATCGCAGTGCAGAAAACCAAACACTGGCTTTTCTCTGTAAGTCTTTAGACCGCATGCATAGAGCCACGCCGTCCCCCTGGATGAGATTGATGCTTAGTAGTTTCTCCAAGCAGCCTCCGCCGCACGCCTCAAACAAGCTCCGCCATGGGCCTGAGCTCTGCCAGGGGGGACAACTGGAGAGGAAAGACAGTCTCTTAAACTCTGGAGGCCCACTCAGACAGACACAAAGGCCTCCGGAGCTGATGATAGCTTTCAACACTCCTCCTCTTACCCCTACACACGCTCCCGATCCCTGCCAAGCACGGTCATCCAATCCTTATAACCCTTCCATTGTTGAAAAATCATACAGTGGTTCGCATTGTGTGACTTTCACTGAATTAGGTGCTGTGTGAAACAGATAAATGGTTTCCGCCCCCTTCATTTGTACCTAAACTGGTGTATCTATCTTGTCTTTCCCAATGTTCAGGCCCAGTCACAAGGAGCCATCACCTTTAAACTTGTCCCCGCAGTCAAGGAAGAGGCGCCAAGCAAGGAGCCAAAGGTAAGGCGCAATCATTATGTTCTTTGGGTTACACTCATCGACTCAAAAGACATTAAGAGCTTCTCTGATCCAGAATACCTTTTTATTGGATACAGAACATTGCTTTTGAGCCACAGTGAGGCAATGATATATGGACAAGGGGGGAGAAGGGCTGTAAAATGGTAATGTGATTGTAGAACTAGGGCAGGTTATTGAAATGCATCAAAACTTGCAGAAAAGCAGAAAAGCTATTTAAGTTTCGTTACCATTAAAACATTTGGGATGCTTTACTTTAATGAATCTAAACAAAACCTGTGTTTTCGATACCTAGATGATACATCTGTAAACCATCCAAACCTTACAGATCCATAGTTAAAATCTTGCGACTTAAATAGTACACTGGCCAAGGTTTTGCTTCTGTCGTGAAACTCAAAGTGTCTATTTTTTACCAGATGACACGGAGAGCAGAGACTTAAAAAAAACATTCTTCCACCTTGAGTCAAAGGCCTTGTTCAAACTGTTTTTGAGGTTGCAGCAGAGGTTGTAGAGACATAAAGTGACACAATAGGGGCTTGAATGGGTTGAGCTAAGAAAACAATAAACTATTGTAAAAGGATGCCGAGTGTAACATTTTCCTTAATTTAAAGAGATGGACTTTCACATGCAGCATCACTTATTATAAGTCAACATTCTGTTTTCTGATCCTACCAGCTTGTAAACCACAGGCTGCTTCTTTCCAACAACAATCTAACCACACAGCCTTTTAGAGCAGACTACTTAAAATGGTTCAAATAGTTTGCAATACAACACAAATAATAACATTTTGCTGACTAGTATGATACAAGCTGTTTATATTCTGACCAGATAATCATATCAGTAACCTGTAGCATTAACTCCTGCAGTTTTTTTGGCCAACGTTTTTGAGGTTACCATTGTAACACTGCTGATACCCAGCTACATTCACTGTAGGACAAGATTATCTCTATTTGGAATGCTGCCCTCGTAGACAGTAGCTTTCAGCCATCCATTTGAGGCTGGTTTAACTTCAACCATGCCATAATTCTCACCCAGTGGTGTGTTGATACAACATTTATCAAACGTTCATCCACTCAACATTTTTAAAGGCAGTTTTTCATTATTCACAAAGGTAAGGCTTCTTGTGTAACAGAGGTTTACAGGACATGGTGGGCTACTTCTTACATTTATAATCCTGAAATGGTTGAGCCTGTTGAGAAATAGTCCACCACTGCCAAACCCTCAGCCACTCAGTCATAGGAATAGCCTTTGCGCTAACAGTAAGCAGTGTAAAAGCTACAGTAAGTGGCTGAGCACCTACAGGCCAGATAAACTTGGCCAAGGTAGAGGTAGAGATCTTAGTGTGTAGATGTGAGTGTACAGTATTCAGCTGGAGGGTTTCAACACAGGCTGTTAAGACCCAAACAAAACATCTCTCTCTGAAAGATAGTTTTAATACGTGGCACAAAGCACTCTTTAAATCAATAGGACATAAAAACTATAATCTCTCCTTCCCTGTTCCTCGTTTTCTCTCACACACTTACCTTCCCTCTATTTCCACTTGTACTGAAGCGTCTTTTGGGTACTAACTCATCATGACAGAACTCAATTATGACAAAAGATGCATCAAGGTGCTTTTAGATTGCAGCTTAACTGCCACAACGGGGAATGTATGTCATCGATTTTTCCACTTAAAGGTCCAACCTCCCTTGTGTTAATGAGTTGTGTATACCTCTGCTGACAAAGCAAATAAGAACAACTTTTTTCAGCATCAGTTTGTTCCCTTAGTGTGGAAATATATTAGTTTGTGTTTAGATTTAGAAGAACGTGTGGAACAATGCTCTTCCAACTGGAGCCTGGAATAAATGTTATGTTTTGCCACACTTGGAAGATGTTGACAGGGCTTAGTGCATCCTCAGTGTTGATGGAACCACATGGAGAAACTAACTTGGCCAGCAGTCGCAGGTTTCAACTTCTGATTGCAATGACCTTTCTAAAATAATCCCCCTGAGCGTTGGTGAAGCACCTTCTGTGTTCGCCGTGATGACTTTCCTTTAGTATTCACACTCTACGCAATGGAGAGAAAAGTCATTTACAGTGAACCGCTGATTTTTCCTGTTCTGCCCTCAATCCAGCTCTTTGTTTTGTCCCCCCCTCCCCTCCCCTTCTCTGCTGTATGTCCAGGTGTTTATGAAGGCACTCTTTGACTACGAGCCTAAGGAGGACAAAGCCATCCCATGTAAGGAGGCTGGACTGGCGTTCAAGATGGGCGACATCCTACAGGTCATGAGCCAAGATGATGCAACCTGGTGGCAGGCCAAATACGAAGGAGAAGCCAATCCTCGTGCCGGCTTAATTCCGTCCAAACAGTTCCAGGAGAGGTAGGAAACAACAAGCTCCATCAGCATGTCTTGTCAACCATTCACTCTTAACACGGCTGAACCCACCGTCTTTACTTCTGTCATAGTCACACAGCTTTCACCCTCTTTCTCTTTCACTCCCCTTATTTTCGCTTATTTAGTTTCTTGCTTCATACTGTACTGCCAAAATAGTCTGGATTTCCGCACAATGTCTGGACCGAAATGAGTAATGACAGAAAATGATAGTGCTGGTACCGATCCACTTTGGATGGCAAGTGGATGGAAAATCGCACATCAGTGTGCGTTCGGACGAACACAGAGCAGGCCGGGGCAGTTTCTTGGCACTGTCTAAGAGCATTGAAAAAGGGGAAGGGAGGAAAGCAAATGAAGAAAAATAACATTCATAAACATTTAACCGTGCAGTTTTGTCACCAGCAAGTGTGTTTTTCCTCACTCTTTCACTCTCCTTTTCAAGTCTCAGCTGACCGAATGGTGGATATTGTAGCATAGCAGGGAGTGTTTATTATTCCCAGTGCGGTCATGAAAACTGATGGTTTTATTGTGCCTTCTTCCTTTCTTTCTTTATCCTCCTCTCTCTTCTTCCAGGAGATTTGCACTGAAGCGACCTGTTGCGACTCTCCCACTGCAGAAGACCCCCAGCCGACGATCATGTAAGCATATATTATAAGCTCTGGTAGGCCCTTACAAAGTAGATAGTGACAGCACATCGCAACATATTAATGGGTATGACAGAGGTATTGCAGAGTAGCTGGTAGTAACTTACAAACAGTGAAAGACTCCTCTCTGGATGTCTGTGGTACAGTTGCTTCACACCTGTCATCAGAGGAAGTGTTGTGTCTGGATTTACCTTCCTTCTTATTTTCCTGTTTGCTCCTCTTTTTTTTTTAGCTTTCTCAGTATCTCCCAGTCTCTTGCCAGACTCTCCTTCCTCAGCCCCCCTCTGTGTCTCCATGTGTCGATGTGGTGTTAGTCATGCAGGGGCTTTAATACAAAGAAAAATTGCCCACTGGTAAATTCTCTGAGCTTTTACTCCTTCCATCCTACCAAGCCCACAAGAAGTGCGCAGGGCATTGAAGCACATTTTCGTAGTGGCCAAACGGCAGTAATACTACTTCCGTGTTCCTTATGTGATTTCATTTCAATTACAGTGGGAAAGAGACATTTGTAAATCAGCATTAGGTCAATCAACTTCACAGCCTTAGCACTTTTATAGCCCTTTTTTAAACATTACTTCCTCAAAGTTGTATGATATGCTAAAGCTAAATCCATCCACTCCATTCATTTGACTTAGGCGTGAACGGCTGTGAAGCTCCAGATTGGAGGCAAGTCTTAAGGAAAAGCAATCGCACGCGCTCTATGGGCCCGAATACGGGTACTTTTGCCCTTGAGAGTCAAGCCATGTTGGCTCAATGCACCACTGAGCAACTCCAATAGGATTGAACGGGGCCTGCCTCCAATGCTATATCCAGTTATTTGTATACATCCACGCATCCTACCCATTCAGCTCAGCCACATATCAAAGAGCCTAATGACGGATTAATGAACTGATGCTAGACTTTAAGATGTAATAACAGATCTTATGTACAGTATTTACGAGTCTCTACAGTGACCCCAAACCTGGCCTAGCAGGTATGTTAGGAAAAAAAACATCAGCAGGAGTACTTAGCAGATATATGCTTGAACAAGCCAGGATGTAGGAGATCAGGAAATGGGGGGAGTATAGCTTAATTGCCCTTATAAATCAAAGATTTTTGATGGCTTCATAATGAAGACAGAAGACATAAACCATGTCTTATAGGAACATGACAGCAGCAGAAACAGTTATGTATGGCCTACAGACACTGGTTTTAGAATGATAGTTTAGAAATACTGGAGGCTACTGTTCTGGGAGCTATAGTGCCCCCAGTAATAGATTGAATGTAAAAAGATTGAACTGAACTGTTGTATTTTATAAAACAGTCAAATCAAAATACACTACTGTCAAAAGAAAAAGCCTGCAACTGACATGCATGTTGATTTAACATCAATGGTTGATCAATCTTCCCTAACAATAACTCATTTTGGTTTCTCAACAGTGTAAATTCCTCCAGTTAAAGTTGAGATTTTCTCACATAAGAAAAAGTACTTAATTTTAAGCCCAAATTGACAGACTTGTTGGCAGGACTCTCCTTGCACCTGTAAGATATTCCCTGATATGCAGTCTCAAAATGACAAACACATTAGTTATGATTTACAAAACAGTTGCCAACCAGCCATTTGTTTTGTATATGGTAGGCTACAGTGCGTGAACAGAAGCCTAATCCAGCTGGCTTTGTGGCTGTGCATTACAATATGACTACGTGTGCATGCCTGTAGCCATAAAGAAGTCATTCATTCTGCCAATGTCTACTGTGGGTCTTGCCGTTCTTATGAGCCAACTCGACCCACTTGGACTGCAGTTTACTAAATGCTTTTTACTTGACATTTGCATTTATTGCCATCTTCAAAGCTGAAAATTAATTCTGCAACCCTTTTTTGTGTGCAACTTCATTAACTAAGCAATACTAAGATATAATCCATATATATATACCACTCAACTCATCATTGAAAGTGTTTTCTCAATTCCAAATCACACATGGCTCCTTCTTACACACCTCTCCTTTCCTTCTTGTTTTGTTCCTTGCTTTGTTTATATGTATTTGCTGACATTTTCATGTTCAAAAGCACATATGTTTGCCTAATGAGACCACATATGTTCTCATTTGCAATATGCAGCTTGTCTCCTTCCTCTCATTTCACATCCCAACATACAAACCCTCAGAACCACACTTGTACTTTGTTTTATAGGCCTGCACCAGTCTCACAATGACCCCATTGAACCAAAAGCTAGTTCGTATTGGCCATATTTTTTTTACTGTACATTACCACTTTAAAACGGACATATCCATTTGACTACTTGTTTCCCTCAACATGGCTCAGAGCCTTTAATGTAACGTGACTCTTCCAATATGTAGCTCCAAAATAGCCAACAGAGCTAAGCTGACCACCTCTAAACTTAGCATTAGGCTCGTTTTATGCTTCAGGTTTTAAGCCCTCGGGTGAATTATGGATGTTGTCATTTCCTGGTTATGTTCAACCACATACTGGCATACATAGTGCAGGATGGCCAAAAATAGCCTGCTAAAAAGTTAAAGACAGACAGTGCTGTACTGTTCCCTTCCTATTTCATTTTAATGGCCCAGTTCCTCTTATGAGTTATTGGATTTCTAACCTCCCCCCCATCCTCTCTATATGCAAACAAGGTGGCAGGTGTAAAATGTAGTTTGCTGCGGCCCATACCAAAAGAACATAAGTCTCCTTTTGAGCTAATGTCATACATACTGTAAGGATTAGTTGTATTTGGAGCAGCAGTAGTAGGAAGTCCCTTGACATGGCCCTCTCAGGACTACAGTAATAACTGGGGGAAAGATAACAGTTCAAAAAAACCAACAACCTTGATTATAGAAGAATGTTGGATCCAGTTGAGTGAAAGGAATGAAGGAAAAGCACAAAAAAAGGAGATTTAGCAAAGTGAAAAAGGATTATGGATGGCCTGACAGAGAGATAGATGGGGAGGGATTGATTGGAGGGGTCACATTCAGTAGCTGATGTGGCCCAGCGGAGGGGTGATGGCTGGGTCAAGAGAGATTGAGGCGGATCAAGCTTGGATCCTGGCCCCGTGTGCGCCGGACCGCCTGGGCCCCGGGGCCATAAACTACAACCTAATTCAAGGATACCGTGGAGACCCCGCTGTTACCGAGCGGAGGACGGAGGTGGTGATTGAGGAGGGGGTCCCTTTCTTTCTCTCTCTTTCCAGCCCGGGAGCTCCGTCGGCTGGAACAATATTGGTGTTGGCGAGGGGCTGCGGCGCGCATTGCTTAACCGTGTCCATTTACGCCTAACATTTGCAAGATATAAATAATCCCTTTCCTCGCTGTTGCTCTCGTGGATGCATTCCTCGGCTATGAAACTGATGTTTAAAGTACCATCAGTTTAAATCTATTATTAATCTGATACTGGGGTTAGATCAACTATTTAACATCCATAGTTGTCAACCTAGTCTACAGTAATTGCCTCCTCCCTTCTTACCCCCTAGCTCAATTCCATTGATACCTGGCTCTCCTCCAGCCTCCCCATCTGTTCTCTCTGAACGTGCTAACGGCTCTCTGGGCTTTCTTACAGTATGTCTGTACTTCTGTCTGACGTGCAAACCTCTCCACTGTCTGATTGTTTGGTTTGGTTCTCGGTTTGCCAAACACGTGGACACACTTATCGCTCACCTTGGGGTCTCTATATGTCTCTCTCCATATATTACAGCGCTATCCCTCTCAACTCTCCTCCAACGAGCGGATGAACCATTTCGAAATGCCGTCCGAGATCGCTCTTAAGTGGCCCTGAACCTGGCCCCGTGTTCAATTTATCCGTCCATTTCATTTTTCAACTTTAAACGTTTACAGACCGGGGAGTAGATTTAGAAGCGCAATGGGTGCATGACAAAAGTTCAATTTTATTCTCGAAGATAAGAGCCAGTTAAACCCGTAGAGACCACCCTTAAAGTTTTATAGATCAAGTTGTTATTGTTTCCCTTCATGTTAAAATTCCCTGTACATTGGTTCATTGTCAGTATCACAATTCTGAGTGACATGTACCGTTTGGTAATGTATGGATTCAGCCTTTTAACGCAGACCAGCTCAGCTCTGTCTTTCATTCACTTTCCCCCTCCTGACTTCCAATAACCGGCTCTACATTTGAAGGCCAAAAGATGCATGACAAAGATCTCACTCCGTGTCATCTGGAAAATTCCACCGGTCTCATGTTGGTTGTTTAAAAAGTGAGAGAGAGAGAAATACTGCAAGCAAGAGAGAAATTGACAGCGTCAAGTTTGTCCAAGGAGAAGGCCATCTGTGTGCTGGCTGGCTGCGAGGGTGACATCAGCTCGTAACTCAGGTCCATTTACAGGGTGCTGACTAGGGGTCATTCCTTTGTCTCTTCCTGACTCGTAAGAAGATAGCTAAAAGATTGTCTGGCAGCACTTCAGGATGGTTTACTGTGCCAGATATAATCCATACAACTCAAAGGAGTAAAGATACCCAACATTGGATGTTTCTCTAGTGGGGTAGTATGACCTGGACCATCTTTTGATACCCTTAGGGTGATGATCAGGGGGATAATAACAATGGGTTTTGATGATGACCTGCTATTCAGCCCAGTCAAATACATTGGTTAAAATAATCAGTCTAAACTGTTGTTTACAGCCTGTCTGATTGTCTGATTGTCTATGTTTCTTTCCCTTCCATCAAATGTTATATCCAGATCTTAGCGATTATTATCAGTACAATTTACTCTACGAATCAAAAGGAAAGCCAAAACTGCAAGAACAAGTTGTAATACTTGAGTAATACTTAAGAAACATTACATCCACTCGCCTTTCTGTTTTTGTCATCCATCCTTTCCCTTCATTCCAACACTACCCTCATCTCACCCCTTCTGTCATCCTCTGCGGTGACTCTTTGGTATGTTGGCGACATGGGATATACCCTTAAGCGTGCGTCCCTTTCCAGTGATGATTGGGGCGGGTGGCCATGAAGCATCCAGTCAGAATGAGTAGCCGACCAGCTTGACTGCACACCGA